CCCACGGCCACTAGATCTAGATACCTCACAATCGTATTCAGACATTTTAAACATTCTCCTAGTAATAACTCCTTACGCCAGGAGCTTCGTTAAAGAGGCCATTTTCCTCCAGTATATTGCGATACGTACTTTAAATCATGTTTTACGTATGTACTTCGTACGCATTACGCATATCATGGAACCGGTTACAAGGACTATTGAGGGATCCAAATTCCCCTATGTATTTCATCTGTAAAAGACGTTCTTAATACGGATGCAAAGTACGTACCATAGAGCAGGGCGTTAGATAACGTTAAACATGATGAGCTATTTAAAAATTGGAAAGCTAGACATAGATGGAGAAGATCTAAGAGTTATTCGAAATATATACTTGAACCAAAACGCTGCAGTACTGGAGCATGCAGTGAATATAAGCAGATTAGAAGAGAAGTGAGGTAAGGATGTGTTATGTCATCAGACCTCTTTAACATGTACAGTGAAACAATCCTAAAAACATAGAAGAATGTCCTGGTCTCAGAGTGAATGGTGAAAATATTAATAACATCAGATAATATACCAATCTCACAGTTTTAATAGCAGACTCAGAAACGGACCTTCAATCGCTTCTAGATACTGTTATAACAGTAGGTGAACGTAAACGATTATTGTTGAATGTAAAGAAAACAGAGTGCATAGTAAAATAAAAATAAAAAACAACTGCAAATACTATTGGTAACCTCATTAGCAAAGGTGAAAAGATCTAATAAGCCCAACAGTTAAAATATCTAGAATATAATAACATTGGATGCCAAATAAACCACAGAAATAACACACAGAATCGCAAAAACTACGGCTAGTTTCAATAAAATGAGCCCTATCCTGAAAATTAGAAAATTAACAATGACTACCAAAATGAACGTTCTGAAATACTATGTATGGCCAACCCTTCTTTATGGCTGTAAATTCTGGATAATCACCAAAGACAGTGAAAATTAAACCGAAGCAAAAAAAAAAAGAAGTTTTTTCTTTTTCGAGACTGCTGAGGAAATCGTGGAAGGAAAAGAAATCAAATGTGGTAGTACGTGATGAAGCCCACGTGGGATACTCACTGTTGCAAACAATCATGAAACAACAAATACAGTGTTTTGAACACCTGAGTAAACACAAAGGTCTTGAACATCTAGATCTAGCTCTCACTGGCAAAATTGAAGGCGAACGAGGCAGGGGTAGGCCCAAAGCAACCTACTTGACTAAACAAATGCGTATCGGGGAAAGATAAGGGAAACGTAGCTTTTTAAAGAGCATCTAGGCAAAGGAATGAAAGGGGGCTCTCGTGGCCTAGCGGTTAAGGTGTTGGCCTCTCATTCAAAGGTCCCGGATTCGATTCCGGGTAGCGACCAAAAAATTTTCTTCTCTAAAATTGTCTCCTTTCACATCCTTTCCTGATCTCTAAGAATGTTCTGTTGTCTGCTTTCATTTCCACTTTCTGCCCCCACCCCCTCACCTCCTTTGCCCCCTCCTCTGGGCTCCTGACTCTTTCTGCAGCCTTTCTACTGCTACTCCTTGGCTCCTCCTAACTGCTGTCTTTCTGCCACACCCCTGATCTTCTGGTAGGAAAGATCTACACCTAGCCTTCTCGGACAAGGGCGAAAAATCTCGGAGGGCCCGTGTGCAAGTTGCGCACGTTAAAGATCCCTTGGTGGTCAAAAATCGATAAGAGTAGGCTTCGGCCGCCACCCGAGCAAAATTCAAAATTTCCTACCAACGAAAAAGTATTAGGTGTGTCCCGCGCGCTCATATGACCTTATGCAGTTGCGAGCGCCGTAAAACCCTATACTAAACAAACAAAAAACAAAGGAATGAAAAGGTAACCATGATCGCCGATGTCTGTCGCAGATCTGGCACTGGATGATGATGAGAGTTAATGTTAAAGGTACAGTCTTTTTGGGGTGCGGATGATCCAGTTTTGGTTACATTAAACCTTTTTTTTTTTTTAAAGAATATAAAAATCCGCCACACACGCTGTTGATATGAACCCTAAATCAAACGCAATATTATTTATACACTATTCAGAGTACTTTAGTCCTGCTCACGTGAAAGGTGAAGGGTAAAGACTCAAAGAGATTAAATTTTATGCACAATCGGAAAAATGGAAACTTTTCTTTAGATCGCCAGTATTTTATAGAATCAAATTTATAAAGTTTACATCAAATCACAATCGAATCATCATCTCTGGCAACTCTCCTTATTTTGATACGCTTATTCCAAACATTAAATCCTTCTTTGAATTTATCAATCCATGCAATCCGGACAGACAGAGAGACCGACAGATAGAGAGACCGACAAAGAAACCAAGAGACCCAAAGAGAGACTGAGAGACCGACAGAGAGAGAGAGAGAGAGAGAGAGAGAGAGAGAGAGAGAGAGAGAGAGAGACTGAGATGTCGACAGATAAAGAGACCGACAGAGAGACTGAGAGGTCGACAGAGAGGACGACAGACAGACAGGAGAAGAAAAAGTCATCGGTGTTCGGCGGCATTGAGACTCCTTAATATTCTATTGTCTGGTTTTATGACTTAACAGGGCGAAGATATAGAAAACAGCTTTCTCTTTTACTGCATTGTAACAATTTTTATTCGCTTTTTTCATAAATTATTATTCGTGGACTAGATCTACATAAACACGCGTGGGCTTTTTTTCATTTTAGAAAAAAGAATTAGAGTGAAGAGCTTCGTTTTTAGCCCCAAACAAATTTCATCTGGGTGTGGATGTTCACGAACGTGCTGAGAGGGAATCGCTTTTAATAATAACATATTCGAAGGGCGTCCAGAAAGTAAAATAATTTTAAAATAAATAATTTCCCCAATCAAAACGATTTTATTTGTGAAAACCTTTTATATATGACTACTTCTCCACGTAGTCACCATAGCTGTTGAGGCATTTGTCGTAGCGTGGGACGAGCTTCTGAATGCCAGCATCATAAAAAGCTGCCACCTGCAATGTCTCCCGATGTCGAGTCTCTCAAGTCAACTAAGGCGTACAGCACTTTTAACGAAAGGATTTATTAGTAGACTATTTTATGACGTAAATTTTCCGTTGAAAAAATATGTCGACACCGTATGACCACTTGTCCTGGCTTCGGGTGAGCGTACTGGGGGGCGGGAGCGGTCAGGCTGCGGGAAAAAAGAGTCCATATTTGTTTGCCTTACAGCACGCAGGGTGTGTGTCTCTGCCTGTGTCTCCGCCTGTGTCTCCGCCTGTGTGTTAGCGTTAGCCTCACGGATTGTCGCTTGAACATTGGTGTCGGGGGCGGGCTGATCTCCACCGGTTGTATTGGTCCCATCGTCTCCTTTTTTTTCTTTCTAGCCGTAGTGATACAACGTTGGCCTCCAGTGTCCAACCTGAAAATCTTTGGGGAGAGGGTGAGGGGGGACATTAATGTAGACAAAATGTCTACCAGATTTAAACAAGGTCAACTTTCCTTCGTTGTCCCTATAACATTCTTCATAAAACTTTGAAAGAATGGCCACTCCCTCTAGTTTCTTAAACTCTTTTTCTATTTCATCATTGGACACTGACAACGATATGTTACCAATGATGACTTTCACTGTGGGGGAGTCCTTGGTTCCTTTCGTCACCGTCGGGCTG